CCTCTGATGCTGCTTGGCCTGCTGTGTTCATCCAGCTCTACACCTTGTTATGTCAGTACATTAACCTTGAGCAGAGCTGTTTATGGGACAAATTTCAAAAGACCCACAAGTTCTGCATGTTTAAGTGTTTCAAGTTTTTAAAAGGCCCTTCTTGTATTTTAGTGCTTTCTTCCAGCTGCCACTTAAGCTTTCAAGAGCCTTTCCTCCAGTTGTGATTATTTATTTATTCCCTGTTTGCCCCCTCCCACACCTCATTGAGCTTTGTTGGCATCAGCTATTTGGCCATTAGGGATTCTTACATTTCTATGATAACATGAAGAACTCCAGAGGGATATCAAGCGGTGCCCCATTCACTCCTGACAACACAATATTTCCAGTGAGGCACCTTCCTTCAAAAAAAAAGACTTGTCATATGTAGTGCTTTTTCACAACCATGGAATAGCTTAAAGCACAACTGATTAAGTTTTTTTTTGAAGTGCAGTCATTGATAATATAAATACAACAGGAGCTAATATGTTTACAAGCCTCCACAGTGATGTGATAATGATCAGATGATGTTTTTATGATGTTGACTGAGGGATAAAGTATTGGCCAATACACCAGGGATAACTCCCCCACTGTTCTTTAATATGGTACCATGGGATCTTGCACATCCACTAGGCAAGCAGATGGGGCCTGAGTTTAACATCTCATCTGACAGACAGCGCCTCTGACAGTGCAGCATCCCCTCAGCATTGGAAACATGATTTTTCTCATCAAACCCTGGAATGGGACTTGAAGACAGCCTTGCAAGTCAATGGATGTTTGTGCTGGTGGGAGCTCCTCTTTCCAACTGTCTCAGGAGGAGCATGATTTCTGAGATGTCAATGCTGATCATTAGACTGGAGGGTTCTCTAGAAATTCTCCAGGCAATACTTAAAACACGTTACTTATTATTATGTGGAAGGCAGCTGTAAACAGAATCCAGTTCGGTCGTCATGGGCAATCACTTGCTAACAGGCATTATTGCCCATGAAGGAAATTTCATGTCACTAGTCATGGGTTCTGTGTATTCTTGTGTGGTTGACGAGCCACATTTCCGACCACACATTTGGTTTGTATTTCCGATGGTTGGAATCGGTCCTTGGCATTGAGATTATTGGCATTCCTTTCTCTGGCTCCTTTCCATACTTTCTCTTGTTAAGAAGCCCTATGAAAAAAATTGCGTCCCTTGCTACAAGTCAGTTTCTTCTGAATGAAGGTCTCCCATGTATTGACTTTGTAAGCATCATTTCCCGTATGCGTTGGACTTACTTGCTTACTTACTGGGACTCATTTTTACACTAATAATGAGACATGGTCTTTTATCTTTGAAAAACAAGATATATATTTATAATTCTATGGAACCTGTCTTTCCCTCTAATTTCCCAATGAACCTTGGAGCTCTTAAATTACTATGTTCTCACACTGGTTTAAAATCTGCTTTGGAAACACAAGAAGGTAGTTTATACTACCCCTATTACAGCTAGCCCAACTGAGGTAGAGGCTGTTCTTCTCACTCCTAACGTTCCTGCTTTTTGTGCTGACATTGTTTCCAGAGTGTCAGCCCCTCTGATTCAAGTGGTCCCTTTAAATACAGATCTCTGGGTCATCCCCAAGGACAGTGACTTACTATTGTTTACTATGTCAGCATGGTAACTGACATGCAGACTCCTCCTATGTAGTTAGAGTCATAGAGCATGGAAACAGACCCTTTGATCCACCGTGTCCATGCTGACCAGGTTTCCCAAGCTAAACTAGTCCCATTTACCTATGTCTGGCCTATATACCTCTAAACCTTTTCTATTCATGTACCTGTCCAAATATCTTTTCAATGTTGTAACTGTATCTGCATCTACATCTACTACTTCCTCTGGCAGTTCATTTCAGAGATATGAACCAACCTCTGCATGAAAAAATTGCCCTTCAGGTTCCTTTAAAATCTTTCACCTCTCATCTTAAGAATTATGCCCTCTAGTTTTGAACTCCCCTACCCGAAGAAAAAGACCTTGGCTATTCACCCTATCCATGCCCCTCATGATTTTATAAACCTCTAAAAGGTAACCCCTCAACCTCCTATGCTCCAGTGAAAGGAAATCCCAGCCTCGACTTATAACTCAAACTCTCCAGTCTTGGTAACATCCTTATTAACATCCTTATTAATCATTTCTGCACCCTCTCCAATTAACTAACATAATTTGGTTACTCTATGTAAATGAACAGCTGTTCCAGGAAAACATGTTACAAAAGGCGGTATTGGATATTATAATTTCCCTATTGATTGAGCCAACCTTAGGAGCTGGAATGTCTCAAAAACAGTTTTAATCAAAACTCCAATCTATTGTTCCATCCAAAACCCTGCAGCATTGTCTCAGCAGCATCTATTCAAGATGTGAAGGTATCAGTGTTATTCTGGGGTGGACAAACTCAGAAAATCACACGACAATAGGTTATTGTCCAACAGGTTTATTTGAATCAGAAATAGTAGGAACTGCAGATGCTGGAGAATCTGAGAAAACAAGGTGTGGAGCTGGATGAACACAGCAGGCCAAGCAGCATCAGAGGAGCAGGAAGTCTGACGTTGCGGGCCTAGACCCTGCTGTGTTCATCCAACTCCACATCTTGTTATTTCAGGTTTATTTGAATACCTGCTCAAATAAACCTGTGGTACTATAACCTGGTGTCATGTGATTTCTACATCCATTCAATGCAGTCAATTAAGGGTAAGTGGTTTGCATATCTGTCTAGCTTGATCTAATTTGAAAGTGAATTTTGCAAGCTTTCTCACTTACTATTTGTTCCCTTCCCAGTGTGCCATTCAGTCGGTCAAAAGAGCTGTTATTTTATTAGAAAGGGATATTCCACTACCTACAACTCCCCCCTTTTGAACCAGTTATTTACTGATTTGGTTCAAAATTTAGTTAGCTGGTGGCATAAGGTGAGTGTCACTGCCATTCTGTGAATGTCTGCCAGTTTGATTAGACCTATGCACGTGGGGATGAGAGGACTCGTACAGGTGGTGGTATTGTGCCCATTACATGCTGCTACCCCATACTGGTATTCCTTTAGCGACGATATGACACAGTATTTACCTCTGTAGACATCTTTAGTGATATTGGTTGTCAGATTGTGAGCCTTGGTTTTGGTACCATTTAATTTAATCCTGTATCCACAAAGTGCATATTCTTCAAAAATAAAAGTGTTTTAAGTGTCACACATTTGAGTGACGAGAGGATAATAATGCACTCTTCCCAGAGACTAGAGAATTGAACCTACAGATTAGCTTGCTCACACACATTATAACAAAATTTCTTTTCTATATATTGTGACATTATAAAAGCATTTGTAGACTGTAAAAATCCACCTTCAGTTGGTTGTGGAACTGGAGTCAAATCTTCCTAGTTCATATATTTTCTTATCTCTAGGGCCCAGAATATGGATGTCCAAATTGAGTAAGTTGAGAATGATATCAAATATCAAAAACAGAAATTGCTGGAGAAACTCAGCAGGTTAGGCAGCATCTGCAGGAAGAAAGCAGAGTTAATATTTCAATCTGGTGACTCTCCATTAGAACTTTTAAACATCCTCCATTATCATAAATATCACTGCAGTCTGAATTGTATACCACTGACATTATAGAAAGAAAATGGTTACCAAGAACCCAATGACACATGTAAAAAATACAATATTAGTCCATATCATTAGGCTCAAGTGAAAAACAAGATGGCCATGCCAGCATTCCAGCTCCTGAGCCTGTCTGCTTCAGACCAGCCACTTCCTTCCTTCTTCCTTATGCCTTTTATCTTCTTTGTCTTCATCTTCTCCCTGTTGGCAGTGACAGAGAAGCAACATCTGAGGGCAGATGGAGTGGGATGCCTGGCAAGGCAATGGCCTGGCCTGGAAGCAGAGCCAAAGACTCCTGATTGCAGCAGGCCCACAGCAGAGACTCCTGACACAGCATGGTATGTCGAAGTGGGGACCCCTGGTTATTGTTGAGGCAGCAGCAGCAGCTCCTGGTTGCAGTAGGCCATGAGTTGGGGATTCCTGGTTATTGGCAAGGTAGCAGCAGCAGACTGAGGGACACCTGGTTGCGGGTCGAGTGCACGTTAAGCACGGCACCTGGCTCTGGCATTGGTGGAAGCACGATGAGCCCAGCGGTGAAGAGATGGCACCCGAAGAGTGGCAACCACGTTGGTGGGTCTGGAGCAGGCAGCAAGGCAGTGGAGGAGGGGTAGCAGCACAGGTGTCGTTGGTGAGCCAGATCAGGACTCATAGCAGAAACAGCGGAACACAGATTGACACTCTTTCAGTGATATCTTTTTATTTTTATTCTTAAACTATTCAAAATGGCACCTGATTGTGGTGACAGTTGAAGCATTTCACTGTATTTTACTGTATTATTCACTGTAAAATACAAGTGACAATAAATCATTCAATGCAAAACAATTACATTTGAAGAAAGTCATTACAGCAAAGAAGACCGATTCTGCCCATGAAGTCCATGCCTGGATGAAATTTAAAGGGAATGTTATGGTTACTTCACATAATACATTCCTTCTATATACATTTTATCGAACCTTTCAATCAGTGGTTATTTGGATGCTAGCTGTGTTGCCTGTAAAATATTCTATATAGACTAGTTTATTACTCAAAACCTGTTTATCCAGGTGTCTATTGAATCAGTGCCAGTTGCAAAAAAAATCAAAAATTCAGTGTTATCGTGTTAAAGGCTTATTTATTGTCATTATTCATATTTCATCCATGTACATCATTTGCATGTACTTCCAATGGGGATACAAGATGTGTGTTAAAAAGCATAAAAGGTGAAGAATGTAACATTCAGTCAACCATCAAAATGCTGATCAAGATCTTGAAGCTTGTGACAATTACTGTGATTAAAAGATCTATTACATTAGTGTTGATTAATCCAGTAATGTTAGCACATGAACAATAAACATTCATATATTACATTGAATTTAGCAACATATTTAAAACAGAATCACCTGACACCTGCAATAAAATAGCAGATAGTGGAATATGAAACTAATTAACTGTAATTTCTAGACTACAAACACCATTGTGGTACAAGAAACAAGTACTTTATTTTGTCAACAGTTTACCACAGTGCACATGATTAACCATTCACTTTCTGTTTACATGATGATTATGCTGTCAACTGAACATCGTAAACACAATTCTTTACTAAAAAAAATGGAAAATACACAAACTAAAGTACAGTACCAATTGTCGGGGTTGGGGGAAGACATGTAGCCAGCACTGCAGTGAACAACATGCACAAACATTGCACTGTTTGCCTAATTTTACAAGTACATCACTGGTTAAAATCATTCCTTTTGCTTATATACTAAGAATATCTTCACCTTCACTTTTACAGTCCTCCCACAAACCTAAGGCAAAATTACATTATACCAGTAGTACCCATGCAAGTGGCTTCACAGTCAAAAGTGAACAGACTTTTAGGTGAATCAAGAGTCAGGGACCAAGCTGACTCTGGAATAAAGTGGTTCCTTTGACAGCCAGGTCAGGAATTGCAAATTTAGATTTTTTACAAGGGAACACCACTTTACACTGACACTACAGATGTAATGTAAACATACAATTTTACTTACCCTTTCTACAGACAGAATAGATTTAGCTCCCTTTATATTTAAACTGATCAGTTCTGTATTTGTTGAAGATAACACTGCAACATGTTGAACATTTCCCATTCTTTGGCTTCCACACAGCTCAGAAGATCACCAGCAAGTGTTTACATCTAAGACTTCCACGAGTAAACAAAAGTCTAACCTACAAAGTGGTCGTCAGCATCTCATTCCTGCACGGCAGTGAAACTGCGGACTGTGTATTAGTGACACACAGGATCTCAACAGAAATTCTAACAGCAATGTTGCCACCACATTGGGGCAGCACGGTGGCACAGTTGTTACCATTGTGCTGACTCACAGAACCAGGGACCGGGTTCCATTCCAGCCTTGACTATCTGCGTGGAGTTTGCATGTTCTCCCAGTGTCTGCATGGGTTTCCACCAGGTGCTCCAGTTTTCTCCGTCGGTCCAAAGATGTGCAGGTTAGGTGGATTGGCGAAGCTAAGTTGCCCCATAGTGTTCAGATTTGAGCAGGCTAGGTGACTTAGCCATGGGAAATACAGGGATAGGGTAAGGGAGCTGGCTCTGGGTAGGTTGCTTTTCGGGGAGTCGGTGCAGACTCGGTGGACCGAATGGCCTGTATCTGGACTGCATGGATTCTTTGATTCTATGACACTCTGTTTAATGGGAGGACCATCAAACAAACACTGGTGTCTTTCTTGAAACCAGGTCTACAAGTATTCAGGCAAAACACACACAATGGACAGGACACTGCCTGGATGGCACAACATCTCCCCCTCAGGTCCTTGCCAGTGTTCGGGGAGGACAAAGAAAACACTACAAAAACATTCTAAGGTTCAAGTACAGCAGCGTTGGCGCAAGTGACTGCATGGAGCTCATTTATAAATCGTTTAAAACAGCAATAACTTGCCCATTGAGTTGCATCGTGCCGAGTCGAAATGCCTTAAACAACAAGACAGAGTGGCAGTAGAAAAAAAAGGAAACAAATCCTGCACTTTGGGTTCCATACTTCATAAGATTTCCTTCCCTTCATGTCAAAAGATCTGCAAGTTGAGAATCAGCCTGAACAGTCACATGAAGACCCACAGAAGAAACTTATGTCCCTGACTAAATGTCATGTTCAAATCAAGGGGCTGCCAACAAGAATTGATCTTATTCACATTGCCTTTCTTTGACATTTGTTTTCAGTGCACCTGCAATTGTGCAAATATTGATCCAATGTAGATATAATACTTCAGGTTGTGCTTTACCAGTGGTTTACAGATTGTGACAACTCTTTCTTTGGATTTATACTTGGTCCATCAAACTATAGTTTCTTAAATATTCTAAGTGCTTCTGTAATATTTCCCATTCACCGAGATTCTTCTTTCAATATTAGATTCCACCAAATCCAAAACTGCTATCTGTATCCTATTCCTCACAAAATCCTGTTCCCAGTAATCTCTGTTCTTTGTGATCTATACTGGTTCACATTTTCCAAATGTAAAGTTCTCCTCCTTGCGTTTAAATGTTTTTATGGCTTTGCACATCCCTGTAACTTGCTCCTACCTCCAATCCAAAGAACTCTGTATTCTTCTGATTGCAATTTATTAATATCAGCCTTTCCCTTCAGCCCATCATTCAGAACTATACCTTCAGTTACCTAGGCTTTCGGACTCTGGAATTCCCTCATTAAATCTTTTCACTTTTTAAAGACTCTTTTTAAATCTCTCTCCTTGACTGAGCACTTTATTATCCCTTGTAGCAGCTCATTCTTTAATTTGCCATTAATTCAAACTGAATTATTTATCTTTGAAGTGCCTTTGTATTTGTAGCTATATCAAAAGTACATTATAAATGCACAACGATTTCCTTTATATTCCTTATCAATAACCAGTTATTTTCTCACTATACAATGTTGTCACATTTTACAACATCAATGGTAATTTAACTTTTCAATTATGACTTGCAATACTTGCAACATTTCCAACATAGTCAAAAATACCAGCAGAGTCACCCACATAAAATTCCTTTTGTTTTGAGCGATTCTGTTATAATTAAAATTACTAATAAATACCCCCATTTTCTCATCAATAATAAAATTAATACATCGTCTTACACAAATTTCAATACCTTTGGTTTTCATTACTTCCTTAAACCGTGTGATGAATCTCATCACAGGCTTTCTAAACGAATATCCATTTTTTTCATCCTCTAAATAATTGTTACATCCTTAGAAAATGCCGGTAAAATTTGTTAAACATATTTTCCTTTAATTGAGATGTTAACTTAGATGTTCTTAAATTGATACCTTAATACTTATTTCCAATGTTTACCCACCAGAGTTACATTATTAAATCATTTATAATTCCTTAGATACTGCATTAGAATTTTTATAAAAAAAACAATTCCGACGATGTCTCTTGCAATCCCATGTTTGAGTTGCCAGGTCTAATGCTCCTTTAAGTTTGTTAATGGAGTCCATTTTGTTTAGTGCCTTTGGATTTTCCGAAAGCTTTCTCCCCACCTTGCTCATATTTTCTTTTGGAGTTTACAGGCTGGTGGTATTTGGTTTGCGTGGTATTCTCAAGTAGGCAATCAACATACTCTATGGAAAGTAATCTATACTCCCACCATCTTGTCAACTCTTCTAAGAATGGGAAAGTGAAGAGTACCAAGTGAAGGAGGCACTGAGCAGGCAGAAGAAAGGAGGGAAAATATTGTTTTTCTGCATCTGCTAGCAGATGATTGCACATTAGTGACAGCAGTGATGGGAATGCTGACCATCCATTCATTCTCTTCACTTATAAATGATGTCCTGCACAAAAACCAATAATTTAAATATGAAAAATAAACTTTCAAGGTGATACAAATTGAAGGGCAGAGGAAAGACATGAGGGAAGCAATTAAATTCAAAAAGGAAGATGAGAAAATATTTTCCATCTAATCAATGACAGATAAACAGCTTCCTTTTAGGATTAGAGAAGGGATGCGGGACACAAAAACTCTTCTTTCTCTTGCTTCTTTTATAACTAAGGATCCGTATATCACTTCAAGGGGATGCTGCAGTCATTGCCTTCAATATTAAAGAAACACTTGTTATTCTTAATGTACCATTCTTGCTGAATTGGTACTTCAGAAGAAGACAAAGTCCTTGGTCTTAACCACCGCTCCAAGCACTGTGCCACTAGTGGGTGGCTGTTGACTTCAAACTTGTTTGCAAATAAAAAGTCCTTTTGAACAAGCCACTCCAGGTCTCCCAAACCATAGACACAGATGTTGCGAACATAGTGACCTGAAGCAAACAAAAGAGATGAAAAAGGCATCTTAGATTTATATACAGTGCTAGTGGTAAGTTTTATGACTATGACATCGCAATATTATCACCACAATTGAAAAAACTGACCAGCATTTGTCTGTGTCCTAAAAGATAAAAGGACATTCACCAATATTGATCAAACGAAATAAAATGGACGTACCCGAGTTTCGTAAAACAAAAAATCACCAGGTCAGTTTTCTCAGTAAAGCATAGTAATAGTGGAAGGAAATTGCTTCCTGAAAAGACTGCTCTCACGGGTTATTTACTAAACTGGCTGACCTTCACCAAGGTTGGGACTATCTTTCCCGAAGGAGTGAAAAACTCACAATGAAGTTGATAAGACTGCCCTCAACGTACCATTACTATGAACAGTCTCAACAGAGTCGGTTGCAACGTTATTTTTCGAGGTGGTCGGTAACATGCAATGTACCTCCTAAAATTAAGCTCTGACAATTTTTTTTTAAAAAAGTTTAAGAAAGGTGGTCTCTCACTGAAACACAAACATGCAAACTTGCAGATTTAGTTTTAACAATAAAACTAAAACGATTATTAGACAAAGGAATGAAGATAAAATAGAATAAACCAAGCTATACAACACAATTTACAAGATTTCAAAATACATGAGCAGAAATCACTGGATATACTCAGCAGGTCTGGCAGTATCTGTGGAGAGTGCACCAGTTATCGAAGTTCTATAACACTTCTTTGAAACTCCTTTAAATTAATGCCTTTCAATATTTGCTCTCTCCCATTGTAAAACTTACAACGCAAAAATATTCCTATCATCACTCCATGAGTGCCTCCTGTCATTTGGTTTATAGAATTCCTACAATGTGGAAACAGGCCATTCAGCGCATTGGGTCCACACCGACCCCCCAAAGAGCATTCCACCCAGATTCACCCCCTTAACCTATTACCCTGCATTTCCCTTGGCTGATCCACCTAGCCTGCACAACCCTGGACTGTGCAGACAATTTAGCATGGCCAATCCACTTAAACTGCACATCTTTGGACTGTGGAAGAAAACCAGAGGAAACCCACGCAGAATGTCGGTATGGAGTTTGCGCAGTCACCCAAGTGTGGAATTGAAGCATTGCTAACCACTGAGCCACTGTGCCGCCCAGTTGCTGCACATACTGGTTTAAAAATGATGGCTTCAGAAAGCATAACAAGTTACTGGTTAAATTATACATAATAAAATTAATACACCGTCTTATTAAAATCATACAGAAAGACCTTGAGCCAATTATCTCTAGTTTAAAATCCAAACACTATTGTGAATTCTACGAATACATATTAATCACACTTTACGTCACTGTTGGGATGAGTGGCGAGTATTATGTAGGAATTCATTTGGGCCCCTATAATAGGGGATGATTTTCATATTGAAATTGGGCTGTGCATGTTGAGAAAATCTATGCTTGTAATGTGTATTGTGTAAATAAAAGCTTAAAATGTCAAATAATTTGCTCCTGGGCTGATACCAGAGTCAAGGGTTTCTAGATATTAAAAAGACAGCAGTGGATGTTTGATTTAAAGTTGGGAACTAAAAAAAAATTCAGGCAGGAATACTAAAATTCTTGTGGGCATTGATGAAAACAGCAAAACCCATATACAAATGGTTCGGTTAAAGACTGGGGTAAAATCACTGCCCAATGTTCTCAAAATTTGAACCACACGACCAGTGCAAGAATGCGGAGGATACATGGACAGGGGTTGCACTGAATCAAAGAGATAAGAAGCTATGGTCACAGTATTGTTGTTTATCATTAAGTAGTAAAAGCATAAGTATTTTGACAGATAGACATCCATTAGCTGGATCATGAAGCCTGGACATTTTATTAGAGTTTTTGGATAATGCTTACAAGAAAGATGGTCTTTTAAATGAGACATGGTCAGAATTTGATGGATGTCAGGAATCAGATGGCCATTCCATGGAGTATAATCACGGACTTTAACAGATCATGAAAAAGAATAGCAAGATTCAGGTTAGGAATTCCTGGATAAATACTAGCATTTAAATGACTAGTTTATGCTAAAGTACAACATGGACAGGCAACTCATTTTAAATTGTTTGTGAATGTTCGAGGCATCTTCATTGGATTACATGGACTGCCTTACAAATAACTTCCTGGGCCAAAAATTACTTCCTTCTAACATCACAGAACAAATGAAACATTTTGCCTTCAAACAGGGAACTGGAGACAATGATCAGCTTTCAACACAGTCCCAAAACAGATGCAGGTGTCATGTCAACAGAAAAAAGACTAAGCATGGGCAAAATGAGGACAACAAGCACCTTTAGCAGGTCTTGCGGTTACAGCAAAAGATAAAAATAATGGGTGAATGAATAGTAGCATTGCACACAGAACTGCTGATAGGTGCTTCAAGTGTGACATGAAGTACTATTATGAGCAAAGTGCCCAAGCAAAGTGGTAACCTTGACTTAAGGTTCCAAGTAAGGACAGACTGATAATGAGGACTATGGATGGGCTAATAATAATGAATCTGAACAAATTATGCTGCTCAGATGTTTTAGACCGTGATAAATTTGATAGCCCTGGACTCCTTTAACTCTACAGTTTTAGATACTGCTGATTTGCATTCAACATACACGACTGGTTAAATATTTTACTTCACTCATAGCTAGCATCAATGTCAGGTCAAAGAATGCTTGTTGGTGATGTACAATACAGATCAGTAAAAAGAATTGTAAATTCATACAATCTCTTGCAAGATATATTTAGTCAATAGCATAGCTGTCAGAAAGGCACAATGAAACAAGACAAGGAGAATGACAACGATTTTCAGAAAGTATTGGGTCTGCAGTTTACCCAGTCAAGATATTGCATCACTGAAAAAATCCTGCTGCTCTGTAGAGTGTAAGTATTAACAGTATTGAATGGGAAGAATGAGAGGTTTAAAAAAAGTCTGAATTTACACAGATAATACGCTTACCCTACTTGTCAAAGGTTAAAAAAATCCATCTAAAAGATGTAGGTGTAGTTGGTAAAAGATTGAAAGGAGGCTAATAGAACAGACCGGTCTGAATTGAAAAATCTGTAAAACATATCAAAGGACAGCATCATTTCCTGTTGTAGCTTTTTTTTACATTTAGACACATTACAATGGATTCAGGGCAGGTCTGACTCAAACCTGGGATATCCTGTACCAGAGCTAGGAACAATGCCACGACAGTCTCCAATTCCTATTGTAAGCCTTCAAATGATATGCAACTTTAATGAAGCCATGAATTTAAATGGATGGAGCAAAGATGGGAATACTTTCTCCTCAACACTTACAGACTGACAAGCAGATTTAGTCTTTCTGCAAAAATACCTTGTAATAACCCTGATGTTCTTGCAGACAAAATCATAGAGAAATGAATAAGAACCAAACTCGGGAAACTAGAAAAATTTCTGACTGATAATAGAGGAGAATTTGACTACTGTGAGTTCAGAAACATGCATACAAGTATAAACTTCATGGCCATCAGTAACGCAGCTGAACAGCCTCGCCAACGGACTTTGCGAAACCAATCAAGGAGTGATTGATGAAATGCTGAATAAAATTTTAAACTGATCATCCAGACTGCAAATTGACATGAATCTGGCATGGAACATTCATGCAAAGAATTCCTTTGTGATGTTTGGAGGATATAGTCTTCATCTTTTAGTCTGCGGGTAAAATCACAAATTGATTTCTGTCTGAGAGATAGTTCTCCATCTCTAGAAAGAACTATGTAAGGGACCACATTTTTCATTTTTGGGGCTATAAACTGGAATAGAGTCAGAATAGCATAAAGTTTAATCAAGTGGTACACATTTTTAGCTGTGCAAGATAAGGTTGCTTCTAGAAGTAGTTACTTTGAGATTGCTTCTCACAATCGCTTTTGATTTCAGCACGCTGTTGACGATAATGCAATGGTCACTTCTCACTTTGATCCATGAACCTGGGTCTTTTCTGGTTAGAATTCCTTCTCTTAAGCTTCCTTGTCTTTTCAGTTGGCAAGTTCTGGATGTCTCGGATTGTTACAAAACTGTAAATGCAGGGCAAAAATGGGAGGCTATCAGCTACTTTCCTGAAGTCAGTGACTTGAACTGAAAACATTTCTCTTCCCCAACTCTCCATGAAAATGGAGAGACAAAAAACCCAAGAGACTTAAAAAGAAGGAATTTGAACAAGAACAAACTTAGGTCCATTAACCAATTATCCTAGTGAAAAACAATGACCACTTTATGGTCAAAATCCTGGCAAAGTAGCAACACCTATATCCCATGAATGAAGTAAATAGTTTACATGCAAGAAGGTGGCATTTCATTCAGGCTGAAGTCTCAGAGAAAATGGGGAGAGCACAGAGGCATTGTCAAGGCTTTCTGAAGCACAATTCAGTTCAAGATGCTCAGCATGCTACAAAGAGAGGATCACAGGAAACGGAAAGGCTTTTGTAAGATAAGAGGTTGTGATGGGAGGATAATACTTAACAGTTTAATTGCCATGTTTAGTAACAGTCATTCCTTACCATTAAATCAGAATTAATTGCAACATTACTGACCCTGAATGGCTGAACGTAGTAAACACCTTGTATCACATTGCTCATGATAAAACTCCCGAGCAACAGAACGCGGTGGATCAGAGACTGCGTAGTGTTAAAGTGAGTGACCATGACACATTACATCCATGAGACAACGAGCTACTTGAGTGACTGGTGTTCCAGAGGGCACAATGATTGAAGGGATGTGGCAAATGTGGGACATGCAGGAAAAGCTACCTGCAAGTTTAAATATTGGTTCAACGTTCAGGATGATGGTCAAGCTGACAGGACAATGGACAGACAAAATGGTACTAAAAGATGTCAAGTAAGAAAGCACAGTGAAGGTACTGATAAGTGAGTGAAAGCAACTCTAGTACTGTGTCAGAAAATGGTTATACATCATTGCAAGATCCAATGGTGCAAAATGGAAATCTTGTAGTTT